CTTCTTAAGGCCCTAATTACTGATGATAATATATATCCTGCATTACCTGAAGGACCCGAGGTTACGGGACCTAATGTAGTCACCGGGGCTCCCCATCGTTACTAAAGCATAGAACCGAATGTTTTGCTGCTCATAGGGTTTAGGGTTTATAGGGTTTATGGGTTTTGGGTTTAGAGTTTAGGGTTTAGGGTTTAGGGGTTCAGGGTTTAGGGTTCAGGCTTTATATTATTGATCCCTAGCCGTAGCCATATCAAGCGAGATTAAAAGAGTATGAGCAACCACCACAGGAGCTTTCAACCAGCTTCAAGGAAACATAGCAGAGGGGTCTGCATAGTTCGAAATAGTATCCTCTCAGGCCCTTCGTGTATCCCTTTACTGTCCCGTAAAGGAACCCTAACGGCAACTCTCACTCTTGTCAGCGATAGCCATATGGCCTCGCATGGCTGATACCTCTACCAGCCGGACAGGCTCCATGCTCTTGTGCTCAGGGTTTAGGGTTTCGGAACCCTGAACCCTAAACCCTAACTACGTAGGCTTTTACGGTATACCGGCCCTAAAATCTAAGAGCATGAGAATTTCGGGTCTAGCGCAGAGTTTTAAAGTCTAGGGCCCCGAGCACCAGTTACATGCTGAAGCTTAGCAGCCCATCTGAGTCTCGACCCCACACCTCTCAAAAACTCATCCGAAACCGCCTGCGTAGAGGGTGATACCCTACCCGGCCCTACCCCTTTTTTAAAGTACCTGGTTTGATGCTTAGGATCCGATAGTGGTTAGGATCTCTTACAGTATAGAGAAAAGTAGGTACCCTAGAAAGGGGATATATATATATATATATATGTAGAGTCTCCTTTGTAGTTCCTTTTTATGGTGAACCAGTTTCATGGTTCGGTTAGGACCCTATAATATAAAAATTTGGTTACCCCAAAAAAGGAACTACAACGAGAATACCCATGGGCTCCTAAGTATTTCCTTTTTATGGTTCAGATTTAGAATCCTATACGGAGATCCCCACAAAGGAACTGCTAAGGAGCCTGTGGGTATATCCTGGGTAGTATCAGGGAGACCCTTGAAAGGGGACCCTTCTGAACCCTAGTTGTGGCTCTCTTAAAAGGGAGCTTCTTGAGAGGGTCTATATCCCCAAGGGTCCCCCTAATCCGAACTCCCAGTAGTCTTAGGGGCCATGATCGTCAGAATGGGCGTTTCTGTAATTCATTACAGTCAAGAATAGGGTTTTTGGTGCACATTTCCTGTAACTATAATAAGGAGCCCTCCCATCATAGTACTTGTGATGGGATCTTAGGCCCCTACATTAGCCAGATGTCTGCGGGTCGCGGGTTGTTGAGCCAAAGGCTGCAGCCTGTTGCAACCTGCAAGTCGATGGAACTCGGATTACAATCTTGAGCCCCGCCCGTGTTTTTCCGGATGAGGCTCAGAAACTTGCAGCCTGCGACGCCAGAGGGAAAGAAAACGAGAGAGCCTCTTCCATGGCGACAGCAGTACCATGACCCTAAACCCTAAACCCTGAACCCTAAACCCTAAACCCTAAACCCTGAACCCTAAACCCTAAACCCTAAACCCTGAACCCTAAAAGGCATCTTTGATCTCTCTGACATCCTGGACTCCAAAAGTTCGCTCTGCTTCCCATAGGCTCCATAGTACTCACTATAGTAGTTGGCTTGGGTTGAAGGCTTGAGGGTTTAGGAAGTTTAGGGTTTAGGGTTCAGGGTCTAGGGTTTTTGGGTTTAGGGTATAGGATCCTAAATATGAACTACAAAAGGAACTACTATGGAGCCTATGGGTTCAGAGACGTTGAGAGGCCTGACTTGAGGGGACAGCTGGGTGCCTCTTCGCATCTCCTGTTTGCTGCCGCGGCTCCAAGTATGACATGCCGTAGCCCTGCATCCCAACGCCGCTCGGCCGATCGATCTGTCTTTGTCTCTCCTTGCCGTAAGCCGGCGCTCCCTTCGCGGTCTTCCACTTTGTGAGCTTTGGAGTTGTTTTGCATGCACAGCCGACCGCACGGCGGGCTAGAATGCGTTGAGGCGTCAAAGTACACACATGATTCGAAGGGCTCCACATGATCAATATAGGGGATCCACTCCCATCACTGGCAGTGAAAGCGACTCAGCTTCGTAGACTTGGGAGCCCGTGCTGGCATTCCGTGGCCGTTGCTTCGTGGGTGCAGACCCGGACACCAAAAATGTGCCGCAGCCGTTGTGCGCTCGAAGCCTCGGTGGGCCAGTTCACCTCTTCAAGTCTGAGACCGGCTGCATGGGGGCTACATGTTGCGGGCCGGCCGCGCGGCCGGATGCCGAGCTGGTACTGGCTGCCTCCAGCGAGAAGCGCGCGAACGTGGCCGCCGGATGTTAGGAACACTTTGTGAGGTCTCTACATCTCTGCACATGTAGGTAGGTATAGGTGGGTGGTTGAACAGAACAGCGGTGCGGACCTGTGCCCCCTGCAACAGGTTGGAGCCTTGGAGCTTGCCATGTCTGAGATGGCGGATCTCCGCCGGAGGTTGCCATTCTCAGACTTGCCCCTCGAAGCGGTTGCCGGGTGCTTAGGCACAGGCGCTGCTGACAAGGTGCTGGTGTTATGGACTGCTGAGTCTGAGGTGGAAGCCGTCCTGAGAGCAAAGCCGGACGCAGCACCGAAAGACAAAGGCCACGAATTGATTCGAAAGACATGGTCATGCCTTTTTGCTTTCTTGAATAGCTCCGTGCCCCAGCGTGTTTCCGCATGCCATGATACTTTCGTGCAGGTGCCTCAGCAGCCATCGAAGCAGATGAGATGCCCCAAATCTTCCACAAGGCGCAGGGTGGGTTCCAATCTCTGCCGGGACTTTAGTAACTTTAGTATTTATAAGGGTTTAGAGCTTAGAACTTAGGGTTTGTAGGGCTCGGGGCTTAGAGTTCTGGTCTTGGGGTTTGTAGGGTTCATGGTTTAGAGTTTTCAGGGTTTATAGTGGTTAGGAGCGTTGCTAGGATAAGGCGCGGGAGAAGCGCCTATTCCTAACCCTTAAACCCTTCAGAACCCTTTACAATTATCGGAATCCTAAGTTTTAACACTTCAATTCCACTCCTTCCTCATAATGGAGCCCTTACAATTAATGTCGGAATCCCAAATTATAGCTTCATGACTTCAGTTCAGTTCCTTCAGAAGAGCCCAGGCGCTGGCGGAGCTGCAGCTGCAGGTGGAGGACGAAGCCAGCCTTCTCTGGCTCTGCCGGCCGACCGTTCGCAGCTTTTTTGGGTTTGGGGCCGTTTAGGGGAGCCTCCAAATCTTAGGGTCTATAGGGAGTTTGGCTTCAGGAACTTAGGTGACGGCACTCGGTGATCCAGCTCATAGGGCGAAGCTCAGGTTGACCCAAAAGGGGCTTCAACAAACACCCAGATTTCCGAATTTAGCCGTGCCTTTGGTTGCACGAGCCCCTTTCTGAGCCTCCTGCTTGCTAACCATGGTCAGATGACCAAGGATGCTTGATGTGAATGGAGATGGACACTGGGCTGTAACGAGTTAAGCAGGCCCCTTTCGGCTTCTGAACCCTCTCCTCCCGGAGGCGCCGTCACGTTGTATGAAATGGCATCCATGCTGCCGATGGTATGCGGAGGTGAGGCTGTGGCCAACGAGAGGTATCTGTCGGAAGCTTAGCCCTCTGTCCTGCAGAATGCTGCGGGGATTCGCAGTCCCCCCCTCCCAAGGTTCGCGATGACAGATGCGAACGGGGATAACTATCTCAGCAAGGCAGAGTTTGCGAACTACCTGACGCCTTTCCTGTCCTGGGTCTGCGTGCCTTGGGCATGCAGCTGCAGAGCTGATTCGGTCGGAGCCCAACACTTTCCGTCCCCAAGTGCTCCGGATCACGGGGTATGGTGTCCGCGAAAGTGTGTAAGAATCCTTCAGAGACAGTCCGGCCCGGGTTTTGTCGCTTCTCGCTCCCCTAAACTCCCTAAACCCTCATGTTCTGACCTTGGGAGCTGAACTTCGAGCGGCTAAGGCCAAGTGCGAGTTGTCCAAAAGCGCGACGTTGCCTGACTTGGTCGCAAAGGCCGTCTTTGCCAAGATCGACACCGATAAGGACCGAGAGGAGGGCCCTGGCAAGGGAAGCTTCGTTGTTGTTACCGCTTTCCTTCAGGATGGCTTCATATCCCCAGAGGAGTGGACGCACTGGTCTGAACAGTTCGATCTCTTCACCGAGGCGTCAACCCAATGCAGGCACAAGTTGCGTAGATGGCGGCGTGATCGGCAGGTCAAAGAGATTCTGACACTTCGACGAGGAGCTTGAACTCCTCGGTCTAAAGGGCCGCCCCACTGGGCACGGGAGTGTTTCCGATGTCTCACCTGTTCAATAAGTAGCCTCAGCAACTGCTTGTGCAGTTGTTTAGCTGTTGCAGTAGAAATCCTTCTGGGCACGATCCGAAGTGTCGTCGCGTGAAACAGCGTGAACCGGGATAAGCCCATGCAGGAGCACTGAGTGGTGGGTTCGGAGATCCGAGCTGCTTAAATCTCAGAGTTTAGGAGGTGTCGCCCCGGTGGTCGGCGGCCCTGAAGGCCCAGGCCATACATTCGTTAGGCCCCAAAATTGCCCCCAAACCCGCCTCGTCATCCGGGCTCGCCATGGGCGGCAGCTGTTGCCGCTTCGGCCCGCCCACTTCCACAAGGACCGCTTCCCGTAGCTGGTGCAGCTGGTGCTGGCTGCGTACATCGGATTCAGGGTTTACAAGGTCAGGGTTTGAGTGAAGGGGTGGATGGTTAGGGGTTGGGGTTCAGTCATTCGGGCTTGTGGCTTGTGATTCGAAGCCAATGGAAACAGCATGTCACGTTTCCAACATAAGGAGGGATGCCGGGATGCGGCTCCTTTCTTTTGCTTGGAAGCCCAACCCCTAAACTGGGACGTCAGCCCGAGACCCCGAGGCGGACGCCCGCGCAAACACCACAGACCCTGAACAAAGAACCCCTGCTGCCAACTCCCCCCCGCCCCGTGTGTCCTGATCAAGCCCATGGCCGGTGCTGCCAGGGCGAGCTACGACAAGGTCGAAGCAGAGTGGAGTCGCCCGACCACCTGGCCGCCCAGGAAAAGTGTGCCCGAGAGGGCCCCAGACGCCCCGCACGTCGTCCTCAGCACAAAGTTCGGCGAACCGTGGTACACGGTTTCCATTGGCATTAAGGAGATTCTCGAAGAGCTGGGCTGTACGGTGTACAACCCGAACACCGACAACAAGGCGCGCTCGGGGTGCCCCTGGCAGAAAGGAAAGGCTCGAAGAGTTTAGAGACTCCCTTGCTGCCAGGCCCTTCCCGTGTTTGAGCATGCTGCGTTGAAACGGGTTCAGTGGGCTTGTCTTCCCCTCTCACCCTCACCCGCAAGGAACTCTACGGGGACAAGGCCGATGGCAGGTGGCTGCGCACGTTCTGCGAAAACTTAACCAGGATCCAGCGCGAGAAGAGGGGTTTCGTGCTCCAGATCCAGCAGGGCGTGGCCCGGGAGAAGTCCGACATGCAGATCGCGGAGGAGGAAATGGGCACCAAGTGGCGCATCCCAAGAATGGGCTTTTATGCCTTTCCGACCACCGTAACTCGAGGAGGCAGCATTTTGGCGGAGGAGTTTCTGGCCCCTGGCAGTGGAGAGGGCCCTAAGCCAACGGGAGGAGGGCATTAATTAAGGACGAGGTGGAGATGGTGTCGGAGTGGTTCGAGCCCTTGGAGGGTGACCTTGAGGGGCTGCCCCTCAACGACGAGGTCGCCGGACGGCCAGGTCTACGAGGGGCAGTACCAGGATGGCCAGAAGCACGGGAAGGGAACGTTCACGTTTGCGGACGGCGCGGTCTTCGTGGGGGAGTTCCAGGACGACGAGTATCACGGGAAGGGAACGCTCACGTATGCGAACGGCGAGGTCTTCGTCGGAGAGTACCAGGATAGCAAGAGGCACGGCACGGGAACCTACACGTATAAGAGCGGCAAGGTGGAGGTCGGCTTCTACGACAAGGGCGCGGACAAGGGCCGCGCGGTGCGGCTCAGCGCGGACCGCACGCAGGCTGCGCTCCTCATGGACGGCCAAATGGAGCGCGTGGTCTCCGTGGCCGAGGCGGGGGCCCTGGAGAGCAGAGGAAGAGAGCGCCGTGTGCGTGATCCGCTGCAGGCTCGGAAAGTGGCGACGGAGTGCGGGCTGCCACCCCTTCCGTGACACAAAGCGCGTGCCTCGGCTGTTTTTTTTGTGTGTTTGTGTTATATTTGTCTGTGGAGAACTCTGAGCCGAGGTCTGCGAAGAACTCCCGAGAAGAAAAACCTGAGTGAGGGCTCAGGGCACCGATCTATCTAGATTTCAAGCTTTCCAGAGTTTTCAGAGTTTAACAAGTTCGGCCCCGATGGTCGGCGGCCCTGAAGGGCCGGTTGGCCAGCTGGAGCACTCCGATCAGCCTACATGCAGCGGTTGCGAACGCGAGACTGCAAAACATGTCGGACAGTTGGGACTGGGTCTTCCGGATGTCGGGATTCGGAGTTCAGCTTTTCCGGATTTGGAGCTTCCGACACGGTCTGGGGGGGGCTTGGGAGTGATGTCTTCTGACGTTGCGATACAGTGTAGCTTGATCACGAAGCGGGCAGTCTCGGCGGGCTTTACCATATGCTGGCTGAGGGGAAGCCTTGGGGTGGGATTGGCGCCCAGTAGGTCCACCTACCTGGAGTCTTCGATGTTGGTCTTCCTGTTTTCATTGGGGTGTTCTCACAGCTTAACAGCTTCCAGCTAATGTGTTCAGGGACGGTATCAGCAAGACCCATGCCCCCGAAGCAAAGTTGCTAGAGGCGAAACTCGGATTTTGTTTCAAGCTGTCCATCAGTTTCCATGTTGTGCCTGTGCCCTCGACCAAGACCCAACGACGCTTTAGAGGTTCTGGACAAGACAGGTGGCTCCAGTGGGGGTGCCGGCGCAAGTTAGAATGTGCCAACTTCGCTTCAGCATGAAGCCCCAAACCCCCGAAACCTTGAAGGTTGGATTTGTATGGAGTTGTGGGTTCGGGATCTAATTAGGTTTTACGTTTGGTTTCCGACCCGTAAAGTTGGACAGGCTGTTGTTTGCAACCCAGCCATTCGAAGCCAAAAACTCCTGCAAGCCTATAGGAGATACAGTTTAGGGTTTAGGGTCTAGGGTTCCTAAACCCCAAACCTCAACCCTGAGCCGACCTGGGCACCTGGGCTCGCCATGGGCTGCAGCTATTGCCGCTTGGGCCCGCCCACGTGCTGAAGGACTGGTGGCACGTCATACGGGACCTAGGGGACATTGAGGAAGATTTAGGGGTCTAGCTCTAGGGGCCGTTCAAGGTTTGGGGTTTGTGGGCAAGGTTTGGGGTCTGCTTTTCAGGGCTTGTGCCTTCAATCCCTGGTGCCAAAGAAGCGTCTAACAGGCTCAGCGAGCTTCGCATAGGGTTCAGGGATGCAGCTCTCTCCTTTTACACCTGAAACCCCCCCACCGGTAGCCCTCTAACCCTAAACCCGAAGCCTCAAGCCCAATTCAGCCTATGGGACCGGGAAGTAAGCGACCCGAGACCCTGAAGTCGACGCCCCTCAAAACCTGGCGTTTCGGGTTTTGACCCCATAAACCCGACCGCCTTGAACCCTAGAGGCTCGAAACTCCCAGCCGAAAACGCTCAACCTCAGCTCCCAAAGCCGAATTCGCAGCAAGTTCTGGAGCCGAAAGCTTGCGTAAGCTTTCAACTTGAACCTCAACTCCCAAACCCTCGAGCCGATACAAAGAGCTTCAGAATTCCCCGGAGGAGCCGATGACGGTGCCCGACAGCACCGAAGAAAACAAACATGCGAGTCCGGGTATGTGGGCCGGGCTTGGGGTTTGGGGTTCAGGTGGGCCGGCCGGGTTCTATTTTTCGTTTCAGCTTTCCCCGAAGGTTCCTATAACACGGGTCCCGTATGGGGACGAGAATGCTTTCTGTATTGTGGGGGGTTAGGGCGATTGTAGGGTTTAGGATTTAGGACTTTGAAGGTTCTTCGTGTAGTTTAGGGATGATAGAGTCTTTGTCAGTTTAGTGAGTTGAGGGTTGGTTGGGAGCTTGTTGCAAGAAGAGAGAGGGTGCTTGAAGTTGAAGCCCCTGGGCCTGGGGTTTAGGACTCGCGGCGATGATTGATTTTGGTCATATGTGTTTGCTTGCGGTGCAGCCGTGTTTTTTGCTTTTTGGCCTTGGCCTTTTCCTTTTTCGTGGCTTCTTGGCACATTGGGTTCGGGTGTACGGGGTTTGCGTTTATAATTGCGGCTTTAGCTGAAGGGTCAGGTTGTGGCTGGATTCGGGGAACATGGATCGCTTGAGGCGTCTCTTGGTTTGTGGAAAGGATTCATCGGGTTTGACCTGCGCCTCCACCTTTAAACGATCACCTCCGTTCCAGTTGACGCCTGTCGAGACACTACCGACTGAATTGTGCATAATAGAGAGCATTCAGTGCGATGAAGTCCAGGTTCGACTTGCTGCTCAGGCTGCAAGATCACCGGCAAAGCAAGCAGAAAGCTCAAGAGTCGGGAGCACCGTATGCTGATTCCTAGAAGATCTAGGGGGCATCTTGTGATGTCAAGAAATGCGTGCCATGCAGCGGAACGAACCTCCTCAGGAAATTGGGTTGGGCAAACTTGCCGAAATTGCAGAAGTCGGTGACATTCTCCGTTATTAATCACTTGGAGCTCTCACCGCAGCCACGTACGACGTGGCGCCTAGCCGGTCATTTTTTGGAGCCATGAGCTGACATCGCCAGTCTCTCTTATATAAAAGGTTTTAGGATGTATGGTTGGTTTAGGTTTAGGATTTGGGGTTTAGCTGGGATCACAAGATCCCTTGAGCTCATTGGGTTTCTTGGCGCGCCTCGCGCCGGTGACTTATAAAGCATACAGCCATGTACCGCCGCACCCTCTGGGTTCTTCGTTCCCTGGCCGGCGCCTCTTTGTGGCTCCTGGGCGTAGATGCTAACTCTTAGCCCGACGGTATTTGGCTTCTGTGTTTACGGTTTAGGGCCTTAGGGGATTTGACTCCTGAGATGAGGGCGCATGGGCCGACCGAGACTTCCGTCGACGCGCGCGAATTAGTTGCTTGGGGCCATGCTTCAGCCGCGCAGGACTTTGAGTCCGAAGTTCTGGTCCCGTATAGAGCTAGACACGTTCCAGTTTGCTCAATTACTATTGTGGCACAGGCAGGAGCCCTCATGCAGAACAACTTCCATGTGTGCCGTGTGGTAAGGGGGCATGAAGAGAAGCAGCGACGCCCTAATGTAGCAGGTTCCCAAAAAGTCTACAACCCTAACTGACCCTAACCCTTAAACACTGAACCTGACAAGAAGGAGCCACATATTGAGAGCCCGAGCACGGGGCCGTGAGTCTTAACCAGGTTCCCGCATATTACTCACAACAGACTCGACTGTTTGCATTGACTCGTGTCCAGCATTCCTCGGTACTCCATACGGATCAGACTTAGCGAAGTTCCAATATGACGGCCGAACCTGCTTTCCCGAAGACTTCGTACGATCTGAAGGTGCTTGGAAGGATACAGGCGGAACAAACCTGTCTAACCTCTACAACCCAAGTCCCAACCAACTTGGACCCTAAAGCCCAAACCGATCCCAAGCCAATATGCGGAGACTATTGAAATGGGGTCCAGGGCCAAAGCTTTCTAGGGACACTGTTAGAGCGTCAACCCGTTCCTTTTAGAGTCACTTGCACAGGAAACAACTCGTGAAGAGCTTATGATACCGCCAAACCCTAAGCCCCATCTTGATCCGAGGCATGTCGCTTGCGCTGAGAGGAGACGCCCGGCCCGTGCGACGATGACTTCGCAGTCTCGGGCAATGCCGGGAAGATGCAGGCCAGAGACCGTCGAGTTTAGCGAGCAACGGTTTTTCGGTTTAGGGTTTGGGGTTCAGGGTTTGGGTTAAATGGGTTCAGGGTTTAGGATGTAGGCAAAGGATTGCAGGACCTGGTCAAAACTAGGAGGGTTTCTGAGCTGTACCGGCAGCCCATGCGCAAGATGCGGCCTCAGCCAAAGATTCTCTGTCAGAGTGCGAGAGCAACGTGGACTATAGAAGACTCAATGATTGCCAATAAATTACTCTTAAGCATTCCTTACCCTTATCATAAGTGTAGTAGATTAGCCCCCACAGCCCCATGCTTGCTATTCGGACCCCTTTTCGTACATCGTCGGATGGAACATTGCAGCTCTACGTTCCAGGACCCCAGGCG